ACAAAATTGCATATATCTGGTTTGCGATATTTTTGTGCTTCATTCGGCTATCATTTCAGTTATTAATTATTTTGAATAATAATTATTAGCTATTTGAAAGCGAAAGATAAGTATGTATTTTAATTCTAAATTATTCTAAATTAGGCTATAAAAGCGAAACTTTGCTTACTTTTAAGAAATTTAAAGAGCTACCTTTCTTGGTACCACCACTACATGATACCTCTCTTGGGTTCGCTTTTATCTATCCCGGATATTTTGAGGAATATTAAATCCAAATTTTGTTTAAAACAGGAGTTTTACAAACGAATTTTAATGCAAATTTAACATTTTTCTTTTCCTAAAATAGAACACTGTAACGACAGAAAAAGTTTGTTGTAATTTGGGAACGTAATGAAGTTACGAATTTATTTCACATGCACGTTTAAAGATTATCAGATGGTACTTCATTGAAGTTCATATAATATTCAGACTGATACTTTTAAAAATATTGATTATATGGAATGCGTATCAGTATTAAAAATATGCGTTTTGTTTTAAATATGACTTTTATGTGTAAAATATATATCATAAAATTACCATCACAATTTCATCGTTTCAGAAAAAAGAAGTCAAAAATTAATGAAATTATAATACCAATAATTGACATGTTATTGTTGCATTTTCACTCTGTGTTTTTAATAGTGTATTATTTATTATTGCATCTAATGAGCCATTAATTCCCTTGATATTACTTTGAAGTTTCTGAACGGCAAAAAATTATATTATTGATACTGCATTTTTTATGTTTTTTTAAATGTTTCTGGTTAAAAATAGACACAAATTGAAGATACAGATGAGGAAACATTAGGCCCTCGAAGGATAAAGCTGCCCTAATACAAATAATAAAAATACAGAATATACATATACATAAAATGTGAGATGTATTCTTCAGAATTAAACTAAGGTAGAGCGACTGAGCAAATGTATTGAGACATAAGGAACTTTCAAATATTTACTGACAGAAGTTGAGCTACAAAGCGAAATATTTTTCAATGTTTTCGAAGTATCAAGCTAAATCTATTACGAGTAATAATATTAAATAGCACTCATGTATAAATGAGATATTTTAAACACATTTCCCTTAAATACGAAATTAAGGTAAAAAATGTATTGGGACACTGCAGTTCAAATGTTAAAAAGAAAGAATTCTAGTAGACATTTCTTGTAAAACATTAGAACAAGGATTTAAATGTGTAAAAGATATAATTAAAATTTAGAAGCTGCTTTGTCAACATGGGTCGAAGCAACAGATTCTTTTGTTGCAAGCAAACTTACAGTTTTAGTTGGAATAGTGTAAAATCGCTAAAGAAAATAGCTGAGCTATTGAGTTCAAAATAAAATCAATGGTTCAAGTTACTTTTGAAATACTGCAAATCGACTGCATCTTATAAAACATTTTTTAAAATGAAACCACAAACAAAGCATCTAAGAATGTTCACTAAATGCGAAGAAACATGGATCATAAGAATTATATATTACGAAATACTACTTATAATTCCAAATATTATTTTTATTTAGAAATATTAAAGTTAATTTGACTATATAAGCCAAAGACTATTCAGCAAATCTAGTAATGTGGAAACTGTTAGAAATATTTTTAAAAGATACAGCTTTTATGACTAAATAGCTAGAAGAAAATCATTTCTTAATAAAGCGCATCGAAGAGCATGATTACAGTTCACTAAGAATAAATAATAAAAGCCTTACAATGTTTTGGAATTCAGGCTGTACTTGTAGGTGAAAGTAAATTTAATGTTTTGCTTTTGATCAAAAGAAAAAAAAATAGTAGTAAACAAAAACCAATGGAAAACCAAACATGACAAAAAAAAACCAATAGTTAGTTTTAAATGAAAAATCTTATTTCTTCAATATAACATAGTACAGGTAACCAAATGGTCTTGGGCTATATGGTGGTGCTTGTGGCGTTTCAATTCGACATTTTAGTGAAGGCAAAATTGGTAATTTTATGCAGCTGAATATTTTAAAACAAAATATGAAATATACAAGTAGAACTAAAAATATGGACATATTTTCGAATTAAAACATTATCAAGATGAACAACCGAAGCATGATGTTCATATTTACAACTGGTGGACTTTGTATGCCTATCCCCATGCAATCAAAAAGCTTCGATTTAGTCCATGCTTAAGTCCTTCTGAGCATAATTAGGTTCACTTCCGTGACAAAATTAATGAAATTAATGAAGTCAGAATTTCTAACAGAAATGTACTTCAAACAAAACCCATCAAAAAATGGGAGAAAATGAAGCAAATCTGAATTAAAATCTTATGTAATACATAAACTCATTCAGACTCTTACAAGACTCATTGAATTCATGAAAAGAAAATGAATCCATCACCTTATTACAGCAAATTTTATATAGTTTTTTTAGTTTTTTGGGGGAGGGGGAGGGTAATGTGTTTGTGTTCCTTAGTATTTATTTTTTACCATTATTTCCTCGTTCCCATGTAGACCACAAGTGTAAAATTTAACATTTATTTTATTTTAATTTTTAATTCGATTTCCCTTAGCTCTAAGATATGGCACGAAATGAAAGTATTTCGTCTAAATTAAATATTTTTCTTTTCAAAAAATATCTGAAAGCTTATTCTGCCGCAGTACCTTTTTGGCTCATTTTGGCTCACTGTAATTAGCATTACAAAAATTCTTTACTTTTATTAAAACTTTAAACTGGACATTAAAACACTAAGAATTTAAATCTTGACATTAAAGAAACTTTCCCTGAAGCTTAGCATACACACAAACAAAATATTAAAATTTTAACAGACTTTAGAAATACTTGCCCTTCTCAATTACTGAATTTATTTTCTAATTTCCTCCAATCAATTTTCACGTATTGTTCCACAAGTAACCTCATGGATAAGGTTGTTGAACACCGATCGTTTGACTCGTGTTCAAATGCTGACAAAGGTCTAGCAGTAGAAGCTATTTTTCTGTTTTTTTCTTTTCTAGTAAAGTTTCACAGACTAGCTTCACAAGTAAAGTATATTTCTTATATCATGCGTTATATTTCTTGCACAGAGTTCAATTTTATCATTTTTCATCTCTGTGTAATATAGGATAAGCAAATAAATTATCTTCTGTAGTACATGCTTACCACAGTATCTCGTTTATCGTAACTAAATAGGAAGACACATTTCTATTATCTGTCATTTAATGAACAGCACATTGTTCCCAGCTACAGATACGTTGATGTATTTTTAAATAGCTTAAGGCGAATGTGTATATTAAGCAATTTCTCCCTTTCTCACGAAAATTAACGTAAATTCTCAAAAATCTCTCGTCAAGAAATCTAAAAAGAAATTCAACTAACTCTAATTAAATCGCTAACTCTCAGAGTCAACTAACTCGTTATAGCTCTGGGAGCCATATTTATGTAGTGTTGCACGAGAACAGATATGGTATAGTGCAAGCTTCTGGAAGCTTCGGAAAAAAAAGCGCGCAGAGATTCGGAAATGAGTTTCTCGGATCTCGAAAAATAGGCAAATATCGCCAATGTGGCGATGAAAATTGTCACCAAGGCGCATATTTGCTGATATTTTGGTTTTTGCTTTGTGCTATCTTTGGAATTTAAAACTTGTGGGACTCAGAACTGAAAGATCCATAGTTCTGTAAATGAAATAAATAGTTATATACCAAATATACGGCCACAAATTCAAATACAAAATAAATCCTAAAACAATTATCCTAAAATAACAAACATACAAATAACTGAAAAAAATGCCATATTCATAACAGTGCACAAAAGCAACGATACAATGAAACGGGAAGTAAATACAGATACTTACAATAATATGAACGGGCTAAGATACGTCGCTTTGTTGAATGAAATAAATAAAGCATTTCGAAAAAGCAACGCAATATTTTCCTGTAAACAAGGCATACATTATTTAAGTAAAATATGGAATTAATAAATAAATTTTAGGTGTATTTCTAAATACTTTTATTATGTATTCAGAGATTTGATGCTTTCAGTTTGGATAGCTTTGCAAAATTTAGAGAGGATTTTGATTACCAATCCAGTCGAGTGACATAATTCATCAATGATCAAGAATACTTATAACTTATATTTAGGTGCTAGTTTAGTAGACGGACGCAACTGTTAGCAGTATTTTTACAGTTAACAGCGACTTTTTGTGGCGCAATTGTTAGAGGGTCTTTGCAGTCGTCTGCCATCTTCAAGAACACCATTAATCATAGCAAAATATTCTAAACTTTAAAAATACGCGATATCGTTGAAAATAGTGTAATAATTTTTTATTGAAAACGTCGCTTTTCGAGATAGCATGCGATTGTAAATAAGTACATTTACTACGAATATAAAATGGTAAAATAAGTTAAATTATTACTTTTATAGCAAATATAGAGAATAAAAACATTCCTCCAACGTTTAATAAGCTTAAAATATTTTTGAATTGAAACACTTCAAAATAAAGTAATTTTATGTAATACATGTGTTTAAGTGTGAAACATCTGTGGCAATAAAACGTAGCCATTGTTGAAAATAGTGTATTAATTTTTTGTAGAAAAAATTAAATATACATATACAAAGTAATAGAAGAGTATGTACTTACGTGTCTGTCGAGTGTCTAATAACTTTTAAGCGTATATTGGTAACCACCACCATTTAAAAAAAATCGAAATTATAATTTAGATTTCAATGAAAAACATTTTTAAAATAAAAAGGCAAGGGCTAGAATAAAAACCGTGAAAATACCACTGATCTGTAGGCTGGAGGAAACTTCTTCTTTATGTTTTAGTTGATTTTGATCCGCAGCTAAAAAGGGTTGCGGACGCCTGATATACGTATTGCAATAGTATATGCTAGCAATAAAAAACTTTCATCTATCTTGAGTATCAATTTTAATCATGGGAAAGGAAATCCATTTTAGAGTAGTTATGATTAAAATTCTGTAATAAGATATTTTTTTTTCATTTAGATGTGGTTGTCTTCAGTGAAAAGGCAAAATCTGAAGAAGAAGACAGGATGAAAGCATCTTATTCTCCCAAGAGCTCATACTGGAATCCAATCACTTTAAGCTCAGAGCAAGAAATGTTACCTCAAGCAAAGATGAAGGCATGTTTCTAAGAGCTCTTATTCATCCTTTAGTATTCACTTTCATACTAAGGAAAGCTTGAATTTAAAGAAAGATTTGGCTGTCAGATGAAATGAACAGAATCCGAGCATCTGCAGATTTTATATTCAAAAACTACGCGTCATTAAACAAATTGAAACTGCAGTTATTTCTTATAGTTTTAGAATAAAATCTGATATTTTGTGGACGCACTGAGTATGATGTTTTAGTTTTAACTGCTTTGCCGAAAATATGCACTAAGTGCTTCAGATTGATCATAAATTATTTTTTTAAAATATGTTTCAAATATTAAGTCAAAATACGTTTTGTTATATATTTTAACTTTTTGAATGCATTTAATTTCATTGCTACTAAAGTTCTAATATTTTTCTAAAGCAAATAGCTCTTTGTTGTTTTACAGTCATCTAAAAACCTAAGAATATTAAGCTACTTCGGTTCTTAAGTCATCTAAAATGTTTCAATTGTGGTTACTGTATGCATTAATTAAATGTTTCGCTTAATTAAATTAGAGGACTACCAGCCCTTTTGGAAAAGATTCGATATTTTATTTGAAAACATATATTGATATAAAACTAGATAAGTTTACTTTAACTGTTACCGTATCCGAAAAACTATTTCATGCTTCTCTGTCTGTTGAAATGAAACGGATATTGAAAATTAAAGACTCATTAAAATTGCAACACCAGGAAGGAATAATCTTACGAAGTCAAAATCACATGAAAGGAAGAAGTTGGGATTGGGATATGCAAATTTTTAGTATTTCAGCTCATTTTAGACGACGCAGGAGGGATAAACGACATCTGAAATGAACTGCATAAAAGAAAAGAGAAAAGTTGTGCTGTGAATTTTTCATTCCACTTATCTGATTTCAACTCTTGTTGATTTTTCTTCAATATAGAATTCGTCTCTACATTTGTAATTCTGCTGTTTGTATTTATTGTAATTCTTGTCTGGCATCTTGTACTTGTATTTATTCTTGTAAGTTGCATTTTGTATATTGTATCTTAACAGTATCTTGTACATAGCATTCTACATTTTGATCCTTGGATAACTTTTAATTATTCTTTCTCAGTCTGGTCAGGCTCTGAGGTACTTGTCTGATTCTCTCTGTTTGGCTTTTGGACCTTTTGGTCGCCCTCGTGTTTCTTTTTCCCTTGCATCAGATTTCTCTCCAGAGATTTTCTCCACATCCTGTGCTCATTATGACATGTGCCTTCGGGCTTCATTTCAGGAACCGGCAACATTGTATTCAGCAGTAGTTCGGTATAATATCTAGTCTAAGCCTAACGATTTCGCATTTGGAAAATGCTTTGTAAGGTTGGAGTTTGCTCAGAATATCGTGTTATGCCTCGAATAAAAAGAGGAAGCAATTCGATAGAGGCAGGATCGTTGCCTATTGAGAGTGTGGATTATTGTTCCGTGATATCGCCCATCGCACTGGTTGACATCCAACCACTGTCATGTGAATATGGAATGAATAGGTTGCTGGGGGTCATAATGAACGACATGCATGATCTCAACGTCCTCCCATGATTAACGCTGGAGAGGACAGAGATATTGTGTCGTGAGCCCTACAAAACTGTACGACCCCATCAAGGACAATTAGTCAGGAAATGGGCATGTTTGCAACATGCCCAGTATCAGCTCCTATGGTGCGTCGACATTTGCAGCAGTATAGACTGTCAGCACGGCGACCATTACTTCGTCTTCCTGTGACAATGCAGCATAGAGAGACAGACGGCAACTCTGGTGCGCCAAACGACAAAGCTGGATATAGAAAGGGCACACTGTCGCCTTTTCAGATGCGTCCAGGCTCTGCGTGCAGTATTCTGATGGCTATATACGTGTCCGGAGTGTCCGTGGATACCGCACGTCGGCTGCTTGCATTCGATATCGGCATAGATGCCCTGCACCTGGTGTGATGATCTGGGCATCCACTGGGTACACGAGACGCATATCTATAGTTCAGATAGACGGAAATTTGAATGCAAATCAGTACATTTCTGACATCTTACTTCCAGTGGTTGTGTCCTATCTTCGAAACCCTCAGACGCCATCTTCCAACAAGATAATGCAAGATCACATGTTGCACGTGGTGTTCTGACCTTCTTCGATACACATGATAAGCACATAAAATCAGTAACCTATTAATCATCACATAGTCGCTGGCTTGCCGGGTGACCATATATGTCACCCATTGTAAACATTTGGTCATGGGTTGCTGAGAGACAGGCCCGCCACACCTCTTCAGCTTATACGGTTGATGAAGTATGGCATAGACTTAAAGCATCACGAAATGATTTGCCCGTTCCTGTCATTTAAGCCAGTTTGTCTCCACGTCGTGTTCTCCACGTATCGTAAAAAAAGAACACTTTTAGTAATAAACTTTTCTCTTTCTTAATTACCTTGACTGTAAGATACGTGCCTCATTTAGGGCTTCGACAGTTACGTAGAGAATTTTACTCTCATTCTTATTCAGGTTAACCATTCTCAAACAATCAAAAGTCTTTGCAAATCAAAATCAAAAGTAAAACGTTTTTTTTTTTCGTGTCTGCTCCTTAGTGAAAGAAGCCCAGCCAAATTTCGGATGAAAATATCCAGTCGGACTCGTCTCTAGCAGAGAGGCCATGGATAATTGTTAGAAACATCTGAGTCGATACCGATATTCAGAATCCGTTTGAAGTACATTAAAATTTTATAAAATCAAAATAATATTTTTTTTATTTTACATATAATATCTATTTTGATCTCTTCAATAGCCAAAAGCCGATCCCCAAAATTCATTCGTAATTTGTTCAAATTTCTCAGCTCTTACGCAAGGAAAGGAGGAAAGTATTTGCTAAGAATTTTTGAAATATTCAGAAAAGGTGTGGGAATAACAATATTTGCTCTTAAACATGTAGCTGGCCCCAAATATTAATTAAAGTGATCTCTGCAAATTTTGCCCATATACACACAAAACATTTTGAATCTAGCTTACTTGAGCATAATAAATATTTTTGGTATTCCAATGTTTTCTTCTATTGAGACCATGTAAAAATTCTTAATATTTCTTTGAGAAACCTCTATTTTATTAAAACATGTATCTTGAATCATTAGTAGAGGCAATTATACGTGTAACTACGATTTCGAAACATCCTGCGTATAGTAACATTCTCTCAATGCCAGCTTTCATATAAGCAGTATGAATTAAGTACATAATCCATATCAGTGTATTATACTCACTGAGTAGCGTTTGCAGGCTTTGACAATAATATCTTTTTCAGTCTGATGTAGTCTCAGCATAATCTTTTCTTCTAATCATTAATCAAATGCTACATCCTTCGTCCTATAAGATGCCTTTCTCATTTCATGTGACAATTACAATTGCGCTAAGATTATTAATGTAACTTTAGCTTGCAGAGTCATTAGATTTTACGATGCGAGATTCTGAAGAAATCCGCAATGTTCTCGCCGGTACTCCACTTCCATACCTCTGCGTGTATTTCCAGGTTCACCACGAAGGTATGCGAAAAAGAAGAAGTGTATTTCCAGTTACACCACGAAGGTATGCGGAAAAGGAGAAAATTCTTTATATATTCCCCCTTCTTTAAAGGGCGACTGGAAATAAGGAAACCCAGTCCCCAAATCCTGGTGGTGATGACTTACTGTCCACAACATTTTAGTTCGACTGCCACTTGTAGAGTCATTAGGTTTTCGATATAGGAAGCTGAAGCAATCTACACTGCCCTCGTTGGGATTGGAAGTCCAGACCTACAGAATGCGAGTCGAAAGTGCTTTCAGTTACAACACGAAGGCCTGCTGAAAAATACCTCAAAAGCTTTTTATTTTAAATGAGGAAACATTTTTTAGCTGTATTCAGCTTCTGTATCCTTTCTCGGAAAAGCTTCAGAATTATTGGTACTTCTATGTTACACTTTTGTATTTTAAATAAATAATTTGAAATTTTGTATAAATAAGTTATTATATTGCTCATACTTTCATTATTCTAAAAACACAATAATATACGTAGTTTTCCATTTTATTCAAATTCAAATTAATTTATCCAAAATTGTGTGTAGGAATTTCCTTAGAAGTTGCACTCTGTACTGAGGAAGGAATTTTGATTCAGCAGTTATCTTATACTGAATCAAGAATGAATGCACACACTGACTTGAGGTGTATGTTTATGTTAAATCGAGGCATATATCTGTTAGGAATTTATGTTTTTGCTTTTGCTGACACTTTTATATACTAGCACGTTAGCATTGTTAAAGGCAATTTTTCATCACATAGAATATTGATTCCACGCCTCCATGGTCGACTGCCGACTGGGTAATACCTCAACAACCTGTGGAAATGGTTACTTTGCAGTTTCATAGGCCCACAGCAGCCGCTGAAGAAAGTAAAATGTATGAGAGGCAATCATTGCCACTACAGACATTATCTACCATCCCTGAAAGGACATCAATGATGGGAACTTCATCCAGCAGTTTTTCTGCGCAGCAGTCGGCAAGCACTGCAAAACAAACAGATGTTTGACTTGGCAAGTAAAATTTGGCTTTAGAATCTCTATTTTTCTCTTAAAATATATTTAAAATAATTTTTCAGCCTTTTTCGACATACGTATGTATGGGATATATATATATATACGTAGCGTATTCGGAAACTAAGTACCGTTTCATTCTAGCGCCGTCGCAGCGCTGTGGTAGGCGTCCCACGCATGCGCACTAGTCTTTCTTGTTCACTAACTTTCAATTGTCGCCATTTTGTTTGCTCTATGTTGTGTTTTCAGTTTGCTGTGCACATTCAAAATGTTTAAGACAATTAGTTCTCCCGCGACTGTGAGATTCGTGCCGTGATTAATTTTTGAACGCGAGGAATGTTAAACCGGCCGAAATTATCGTCAAGTGACAGACGTTTACGGTGAATACGCGATAAGTGATGGAATGGTGAGAAAGTGGGTAAGAATGTTTAATGCAGGTCGAACGAATGTCCACGCCGAGGCTCGGAGTGGTCGGCCTTCTGTTGTCACCAATGATTTGGTAAGGAAAGTTGATGAAGCAATTCATGAGAACAGACGCTTCACAATGGCAACTCTTTCAGAGGCATTTCCACAAATTTCACGTACTGTTTTGTTCGAAATTGTGTCTGACCGCTTGAATTATCGCAAACTGTGTTCCCAATGGGTTCCAAAAATGC